AATTTAATTTTTCCATCTGTGGTGTGTGGGAAAGGATGTGCTTCTTACATGGTTTGCAATCATCTAAGAAACTATCCAACTTACTTTATTTTGTTTTGCAATGGTGTCTATCAAGAAATTTGTTCTAACATTGTCAACATTTGGAACCAAAATTGATGAATACTCTGGAATACTGTCAGTCGGATAAAAATATGGCTGAAGTTTCTTATTCCAGTGCTCCCAATCACCTATGCAGGAAGTAAAAATTCATCTTCATCAAACTGCATTCTTCGAAAGTAATCAGAATACAAAAATGCAAGCGATATAAATAATCAACAGAATCATAAAAACATTTAAAACGTTTTCCTAAAACATGTTAACATATGTGCTTATCTAACTTCTTCTCTACTAAGCTAATGTTTGTTTATCTAATATACTGTATGTGACATTTGGTAAATTTGTTTTGCTTTCTTATAAAGGTTTTCAATTGCTAAATTATTCATCCAGAGGGATTGGGCCTAAAATGCAATACAAATCAACTGGAGGTGAAACCAATGAGGTGTGTAGTATCTAGTAGGAAAGCCACACCCACTGAAAGGATGGGAAAGACCATAGAAAGGATAACTATAGAACTGATATCACTTCTCCCTTAATGATCTGGTAGAATTCACCAATGAGGTCATCTGAGCCTGGAGTTTTCTTTGCGAAAAGGTTTTACCCACTAATCACAGTTTTTAAGTAGATATAGGAATATTTAGGGTATCTATTTTCTTCTTGATGATGCTTGGTAGTTTTTTATCTTTCAAGGAATTTGTCCATTTCATCTACACTATCAAATGCATTTTCATAGCGTTGCTTCTAACATTCATTTCTTATTTGTGTTCATGTCTGTAGGATCTGTAGTGATCACGAGTTCCCCCTTTCATTCTGGACAACAGTGAGTTATGCCTTTTCTTTCTCCCCTGATATCTCTAATGAGAGATTTATCAATGTTATTGATCTTTTCAAAGAACATCTTTGGTTGGGCTCTGGATCCTAAGAGAATTCGTACCTAGATTTAAGGATGCATTTAATTTTAGTTTGCATTTTGAATTAGACTTTCTTTTTATCATCCCAAATCTAATCACCTGCTATAAAATTATTGGTCATTCTGGATAAAGATGGCCAGCTGAAAAAAATTCATGTACCTCAGTCTCTTTTTAAAGGCCCTTTAAAATACAAACTTTCACTTAATCTCCATTTTCAAATGATTCTCCTACCCTCAAATGTGCCTGGTGTCCCCTAAGTCCAGGCAACCCTGTGTTTTACACTTTCCAACCAATAATTCTTCCATCCTTGACCAGCGTGGGGTCGGTGCCGCTGTCTAGCAGTGTGGCTTTGGAAAGAGGACCTGGAGCCGTGTTTCTTAAGCAGACTGACAAGCAGCCTTCCTGTTCTTACCTCCCCCTTTGCCTCAGTGTCCGATGCCTGAGCCCTTTGAAGGTTCTGTGACGTACACCACACTGCTGCGTAACTCTTCCCACTGCTGGTGCAGGGCTTACCTTTGCCCTTGTGCTCAACCAACTGCCACTTACCTTCCTGCTTTCTTGCTTTCAATATGAAGTTATTGCAGTCTACTCTCCTGTTCTTTTGAGTTTGTGCATTAGAAAATACCTTTGCTATTTCAGAGTTTTAGAAAGAATCAGAGGCAAATGCAGTTCTTAGGAAGCATGATTTTCCTTCTCTGAGACTTAGAAGCAGTGGGAGTTAGGCTCTGGATGGAGGTACCAAGCTCAAAGGCATTTCTTTTACAGACAGGTGAGCTGGCTCCTGCCACACACGGGCTACATGTAAGGTGGGCCCGTCTGTTTGGTTCACTCTCTATTTACTCTAACATTTCCAACAGGGAAGCTGTGGGATCGATCTGATCCCGCGTCGTGAAGAACCTGTGTTCCCTACACTGCTGCCTTTTCCTTGTCAATCATTTGAAAGGAGGTGATGTACGAGGTATTGCCAACTTGTTTATGCCAGATGTCCCGTAGGCCACTCCAAAAGAAGTCAGTAGTCGCCATACCTGTTCCCAGCGTGGCCATCATGCAAAATTATACTATTCTTTGCATCTGTGACCTTTCAAAATGTTTTAGCAATGATGTCACTCGTAACTGGTTTAAAGTTTCCCCATGGAGAGTTCATGGAAGTTTACATTTTCCCCATCTTTAGAAATGTCATTTCATTTCAGGGAGAAGTCGCTATGCTTACCGTAATCAGTAACATAAAACTCGTACATGGTGTAATTTGTGCCTTTAGGGATTTCTGGTAACAATATCTTGCTTTTGTGGCTTCTCATAAAGGTTTCAAGCTTATCTCTGCTGTCCAATTCCAGAAGAGCTCCTAAGCTCCACATGAGGCCAAACACAAATAATTTATGAAGATGATCGACACTCGAAATTCCACCTTCTTCCTTGGAGGGAATCAAGCCTTCCAGAAGAGTGAGAGACTGAAAATATTTAAAATACAATAAAATAAATTTTTATATTTAAAACCTTAAATAAAAAACTTTAAACGATACTAAATTTAGAAGACGGGAAAGAGAAACAAATGTGTGTCCACATATCGCTTGGTCACTGTCCAACAGCCACCAGCATGTAGAGGGAACGTGGTCCTGCTTTAGACAGACCGCGTCGTCTAGCAGGAAGGATGCTAAGCTGGGGACCAGGAGGTGTGGTTTCTACTCCCAGCTCACAGCACTGACCTGAGGTCCCATTTCCTGACCTGAAATGCAGAAAGCCTACACTAGCTGTTTTCTAGTTTCTGGTTCTAAAGCAGCGGTTCTCAACCTGTGGGTCGCGACCCCTTTGGCGGTCGAACGACCCTTTCATGGGGGTCGCCTAAGACCATCCTGCATATCAGATATTTACATTCCAATTCATAAAGCAGCAACACTACAGTTATGAAGTAGCAACGAAAATAATTTTATGGTTGGGTCACAACATGAGGAACTGTATTTAAAGGGCCAGAAGGTTGAGAACCACTGTTCTAAAGTTTGGTTACTCCAAGTTTCTAGACCAAAGATTGTCTTTCTTTTCACATTTTGCAAGGCTCCGCAAACTGTGGCCCCAGGGGCCAGCCACCTGTCGGGCAAATGAAGTCTCACTAAAACCCAGTCACGTTCATGTGTGTAGAGTGTCTGGCTGCGTTTGCAATACAACAGCAGAGCTGAGTGGTTGAGACAGAGTGTTGTGCAAAGCCTAACACATGTACTAGCTGCTCCTTTAAAAATGTGTGCCGACCCCCCCTTCGGCTTCAGAAAGAAATAGATTTACAGTGAAACATCCTCAGTCTTGCAAAACAAAATTATTTCAAAATTTTCCACTTTTGTTATGCATTTTAAAGTAATTACTAAATATTTTTTTTTTGGCCTTGTGTACTCTTTCTAATCTACCTACCCTCGCTGACAGACGCTCCTTACACTAAGAATCACACACTGGAATGGATAAGGAAGGATCACCTATGGACTAGAATCAGGAGATAAAAGTCTATGCTTAATTCTTTTTTTTTCTAAAGACTAAGAAGGAAAACTGAGCAGGAGGAGGTGGGGGGGGGGGTTTTTTTTAAAAACTGCCTGGAGAATTGTCTCCAAGTCTCCCCATCTGCTATCTGCTAAATCCACTCAGCCAAGGCGGCATCCAGGTTGAACGGATTGCCAGCAGCTCCTTCCTGTGTTTCCCGTAGAGCTGCGAGCTTTACTTATTTGCCCACTCTCGTTATTAGACACACTTCCTGGGCAGGTCACCAAGCTTGCCGAGGGGAAAGAGAGTTCATTCCTCTCCCCCGACTACCACCCCCTGGGAGGTGAAAATAACAGAGAGATGGCAGTCAGGGCATTCCTGAGGCTTCAACAGGAACCCAACTTTGCAGAGCCCTCGCCGCCGCCGCCGGATAAAAACACTTCTGCAGGCCCTAACCGGTTTGGCTCAGTGGATAGAGCATCGGCCTGCGGACTGAAGGGCCCCAGGTTCGATTCCGGTCAAGGGCATGTACCTTGGTTGCGGGCACATCCCCAGTAGGGGGTGTGCGGGAGGCAGCTGATCGATGTTTCTCTCTCATCGATGTTTCTAACTCTCTATCCCTCTCCCTTCCTCTCTGTAAAAAATCAATAAAATATATTTTAAAAAAAGAACCTCAAATCTAATATAACCAAACAAAAACAAAAACAAAAACTTACTTGCACAATATAGTTGCACTCTAAGAGCTGCATTTTGGGGTTGAGGCTTAGTTTCATGTATGTATACACATCTTCAAATACCTTATCGTACAGACTTTGGAACACAGTGGCCTCCTGCGTAGTGCGCTTCTTCAGCCAGGCCTGCAGCACACAAACAGGGTGTGTTTATTAAGAAAGCGGAGCCCGGAAGGCAGAGCGGCCCCGGGTCTCGGTCCCCACCTGCAGTATCGGCCTCCAGTTGAGGGCGGAGCTGCTGATGTAGACCATGCCCATCCTGGACACGGTGGCGGGGGAGGCGTTCTCGATGTTGTGCACCTCGAACAGAAGCTTGCAGTGGGGGGACATGGGGATGCGATCCCCGTTGGCCAGCGTGAGCGTCTTGTTGTCGTCCAGCACGGAATTCAGGTTCTCGATCCAAATGGCATCCACGGGGCCATCCAAAATCAGGAAAATGTTCTCACCTGCGAAGCATTGCCACGGAAAATTAAGCAAGTAACTGTTCCTA